GCGGGGGGTGGTCTGTGGGGGGTGTCCCTGTCCCCTGGATCATCACTCAGGGGTGTCCCTGTCCCCGGGAGCATCCTTGAGGGGTGTCCCTGTGCCCATAATGGGTCATCCAGGGGTGTCCCTGTGTCTGGGGGAGGTCTTTGGGGGGTGTCCCTGTCCCCTGGATCATCACTCAGGGGTGTTCCTGTCCCCAGGGGGTCACTGTGGGGAGTACCTGTCCCCAGGAGCATCATCCAGGGGTGTCCCTGTCCCTGAGGGTGTCACCTTTGGAGTGGCTCTGTCCACAGGAGGGTCATACAGGGGTGTCCCTGTTTCTAGGGGGTCACTGGGGTGTTGTGCTTCTCCTGGGGGTCACTGGGGGTGTCCCTGTCCCCGGGATCATCATCCAGGGCTGTGCCTGTCCCCAGGGCTGTCCTTGTCCCTGGGGGGTGTCCCTGTCCCCAGGAGGGTTCTCTGGGTTGTGTCCCTGTCCCCAGATCTGCTTTGGATGCAGAGGGGCTGTGAATTGGGGACCCCCACCCACCCTTTTCCCCACACAGGAACTGTCCGGCTTCACCCTGGACCGCGTGGCTTTCGAGGACGGCAAAGGGAAGTGTCCCTACGACCCCACCAAGGGCCACACCGGCCTCATCGTGGGTAGGTGACACTTGGGGACACGGTGGGGGACAGGGGACTTCCCGCCGTGCCCCCCCTCATCCCCAAAACCCTCTTGTCACAGACGGGGAGCTCTACTCCGCCACCTTCAACAACTTCCTGGGCACCGAGCCCGTCATCCTGCGCAACCTGGGCCCGCACTACTCCATGAAAACCGAGTATCTCACCTCCTGGCTCAACGGTAGGGCACGGGGGACATCGCTGGGGACACCCCGGCCCCCGTCACCCGGCGTCACCGCCTCCCTTTATTCCGGCAGAGCCCCACTTCGTGGCTTCGGCGTACGTGCAGGAGAGCGCGGCCAGCAGCACGGGGGACGACGACAAGGTTTACTTCTTCTTCAGCGAGCGGGCGGTGGAGTACGACTGCTACGCCGAGCAGGTGGTGGCCCGGGTGGCCCGGGTCTGCAAGGTACAAAAAGGGGACAAAAAACCTTAGAGGTGACGCCGGCCCCGCGCCGCCTCCGCTTTTTCTGACGCCGGTTTGGGTGCC